CAAGATGTTGACGCAGAAACGCATCTTCGGGTGCGTCCGTCCCCGAGATTGGTTTGCAGCGATCGACCTGAAGGACGCATACTTTCATGTGTCAATCCTTCTGCACCACAGACCATTGCTGCGGTTCGCGTCCGAAAGACGAGCATTTCAGTACGAGGTCCTGCCCCCCGGGCTGTCCCTGTCGCCCCGTCTCTTCACGTAAGTTGCGGAGGCAGCCCTTGCTCCCCTGAGAGAACTACCTCGACGACTGGCTCGTACTACCTCAGTTTCAGGATCAGTTGTGTGCACACAGGGACTTGGTGCTTTTGCACCTCAGCCGGTTGGGTCTTCGGGTCAACTAGGAAAAGAGGAAACTCTCCTTGGAGAGGATCTCTTTTCTTGGTATGGAGTTGGATTCGGTCGAGCATGCCTCATGCAAGCACGTGCTCATCGGTGTTGAACTGCCTGAATATGTTCAAGGGCAGGACGTCGGTCCCACTGGAACAGTTTCAGAGGCTCCTGAGGCATATGGCAGCTGCAGCGGCAGTCACGCCGCTGGGGCTGCTTCATATGAGACCGCTTTAACACTGACTCCATGGCCGAGTTGTAAGGTGGGCGTGGCTTCGCGGCACTCACCGGGTCCGAGTCACACCGGCCTGTCACCAAACCTTCACCCCATGGTCAGACCTTGCGTTTCTCCTGGCAAGAGTGCCCCTGGAACAGGTCTCCAGGCATGCTGTGGTTCACACGGAGTTGCTGGCAGTTCGCCTGGCCTTGATCCATCTCAAAGGGCACTTTCAAGGCAAGCACGTACTGGTCCGTACGGACAACACTGCGACCATTGCGTACATCAACCGACAAGGTGGTCTATGTTCCCGTCGCATGTCGCAACTCGCCCGCCACCTCCTCCTCTGGAGTCAGAAGCATCTAAGGTCGCTTCATGCCATTCACATTCCTGGTCTGCACAACTGGGCAGCCGACGAGCTGACACGAGCTGCGCTCCTGGGAGAATGGAGACTCCATCCTCAGATGGTCCAGCTGATTTGGAGTCATTTCGGAGTCGCTCAGGTAGACCTGTTTGC